TCAAAGCCAAATGAGAATGTTTTTAGAGGGGCTGTGTTAAGAGGTCAGAGAGGCAGGGAGGCGAGGCAGAATCACCCCATTCTACCCAGTCCTGGACAAGTGTTTGTCTAACCTGCTCTTAAAAGCAAGGATGGAGATTCCACAATCTCTCCAGGTAGCCTGTTCCAATGCTTGATAACCCTCAGAGCGAGAACATTTTTCCTCATATCCAATTTCAATTTCCCTTGCTGAAATATGAGACCATTGCTCCTTTGCTCCTTGACTCAGGAGGTCATCTAGTCCAACCCCCTGGCTCAAAGCTACATCATCCCAGCCAAAGCTTTGTCTAGCCAGGTTTTGAAAACCTCCAAGGATGGAGCTCCCACCACCTCTCTGGGTAACCTGTTCCAGTGTTTTACTACCCTCTTAGGGAGGAAAGTCTTCCTAATATCTAACCTAAACTTCCCTTGCTGCAACTTGAGATCATTGCTCCTTGTTCTGTCATCTGCCACCACTAAGAACAGTCCAGCTCCATCCTCATTTGAAACCTCCTTCCAGTAGCTGAAGGCTGCTATAAAATCCACCCCCGTCTTCTCTTCTCAGACTAAATAAGCCCAGTTTCCTCAGTCTTTCCTCAAAAGTCATGTCCCCCAGCCCCTGAACCATTTTTGTTGCCCTCCACTGGACTCTCCAATTTGTTCACATCCTTTCTGTAGTGGGGGCCCAAAACAACACAGCGCTCCAGATGTGGCCTCACCAGCGCTGAATAAAGGGGAATGATCACTGCCGTTGACCTACTAGCAACACACCTACTAATGCAGCCCAGTATCCCATCAGTCTATCGCCCAGTGACCACAGAAAATAGCGTATCACCATCCTCCATATACTTCATGCATTTGAAGATTATGAACTCAACCTCTGCTCTTCTCCAAAAGAAATAAGCTGGTTCCTCATAAATCACGATCCCCAGAAATTTAAATCCAACTCCATTGGCACTACCATCCAAATTGCCTTCCACTTTCACACTATGGATGTCTCTCTGTCTATCTATGAGCAGTAGATGAAGATGAGTTTCCCCTTAGCTGGTTTCACCATTTGTAGCAAAGAGTTACCCCATACATTCCAAATACTCAGTGTTGACTGCCTGCTGTTTTCCTGCGCTACCTCCCAACAAATGACACAGTAATAGAAGCCTCCTGTTATCATTCTCCTCTCTACTTGTACTTAAATGATTCCTAATTAGAAGTCTCAGGTGCTTAAACCTAGGGCGCGTCCACGAGTGGGCATGTGCCTATTGCCCTGCCTCACACCCCTTTGAGGCAGGGCAACAGGCACCTGCGGGAACAAAAAAATGTTCCCCGTGCTGCAAGTTTGCAGCATGGGAAGAAAAATACACCCCTAGATATGGTCTAAAAATAAATAAATAAATAAAATTAACGTTTAAAAAAGAGGCGCAGGGCAACCAGAGGCTGGGTCCTCCAGAGATGCTCTGACTGCCAGAGCGTCTCTATGGTTGCCCCTTGCCCTGGTGCCAGTGAGTAAGGGG